AAAAACTTGGCCTTTTATGTTCTTCTAAGATCAGGGTGGAGTTAAAAAAAATAAAAGGTAATGGCCCCAGGACTTAACCCAATAGATAACGGGTAAAATTTCAAAACACTAAAGTGATTTAGGAGCCTGAGTCCTAAGTGACTTAGACACTTAGCAGCCTACAGTCCAACCACTTTTAACAAGACTTAGGCTCCTGAAGGCTAGCTCCACAAAGGCACCATGCCTCTTTTTCTTAGGTGCCTACCTAACTAATCTAAATGACCCTAGGTCCTCAGCCACGCTCTCATTTGCTAGCACCTAAAGTCCCTAGATGCCTAAATTTCCACCAATAAGGTGCCTGAGGTGCCTACGTTTCTGCCAGTGGATGTGTGCAAACCTGCCCATGTCTTGCTCTTGAGGAGCTGCTCAGCCCCCTAGTTCAATCTTCAGTCCTGACCGATTGGACATTCTCCACTCAGATCACTCCCAAAGCCTGATCTGACAAGGAATTTGTAAATGTCATGCTCAAGACAACTGGGGCTGCACAGAGCTGGGGTTTTGGGTGGCTGAATGGTTGATGTGAGTGTGATTCTCCCCAATAGCCTCACGGTGAGGAGAATCACATGGGAGACCCAGGTTTGCATCCTCACCATGACTTATTTGAAGCAGGAACTTGCTCCCAGTCTTGCACCTCCCAACTCAGTGTCCTGACGTCCAGCTTACTGGGTGTTCTGGGACTGTCTCTACATCTCTTCTGGCACCTAAGAACCTTTGAGAATATAGGTCCTAAGCCCACCCCTCTCCTTAGCGTTATCTCCTGGCTACTTGCTGACTTTGCAGAATCCTGTTCTTATAGAGAGCCGGGGCAGCAGGACATGTAAGAGTTAGGTGTTGAATCCCGTAGCACTGCAAAATAGCCACGTCCCATTGTACAGCTAACCCTAAGTTACTAATGCCCAGTTCCTCTAAAATATTTACATTTCTAAATTCCAAGGAAATAAGACTTTGCAACGTTGCTATTCAGCATCTGTGCATTAAAGTTTGTTTATTCAATGGAAACAAAAGTTTTCATTGCACTTTATCAAGCAAGCAGCCTGAATTCAGCACCTGCCCTGATTTACACCCTAAACAACCTCAATCATTTCCTGGCCCTGCAGAAAGTATAAAGGGGGTACATGACTAGAGACCTGTGAATCCACAGACATCTTCTTTATATCCATGGGTATCCACATCAGCACAGAATTTGGCCACCCAAGTTAAGCAGTGCATGCGAAACTAGCCAAGACCGGAAATAGATGCTAATGCTTCCTTGAAGAGCAAGTGCCTGCAGTTATAAAACAATCATTATTTTCTATTATAGCAGTCGATAAATCCTCTTACCCCTTAACCGTGGCATTTCATGATTTACATTTCAGCACTGTATATATTCTTGCAACATTGATTATAAGCCACATAATAAAAAGGAGGGGTTTTTTTAAAGCCACATAAAAAATTAGGAGACCAATAAAAATCTCGCTCCTTTCAAGTCAGCCTGATTGATTACTGCTTGGCTAACAAACCTTTCAATCACATTTGTGTTCCAGTATTGAGCTCTATTTTTGTTTTTATCAATCAATTCTTTTTTTATTCAAGGGGCACAGTCAGGTCAGATTGGGTCCAAAGAGGGCTACAAATCAGATCAGCCCTCTGAATGTGCTAGGAAATAGGCCAAATTCATCCTGAGCTCAAGGGTATGTCTACACTACAGCGCTAATTTGAACTAACTTAGTTCGAATTAGTTAATTCGAACTAAGCTAATTCGAACTAACGCGTCTAGAACTAAAAACTAGTTCGAATTAGCGTTTTGCTAATTCGAACTAGCATGTCCACATTAAGTGGACCCTGAACAGGGCTTAAGGATGGCCGGAAGCAGTGCCGGCAGGGCATCAGAGGAGGACTTATAGCGTGGAGATGCTGTCTCAGGCTAGCCGAGGGCTGAGGTATTTCAGTGCAAATCTGTGTGCAGACACTTGGGCCTGTTCTAGACTGCAGAGTTAGGCTGACTTAAAGCAGCTTATGTAACTCTAACTCTGCAAGTATCTACACCAAAATGTAGCCCCCACCGAGCCCACTACAGAGACTTACTAATTCCACCTCAGCAAAAGGCATAGCACTGAAGTCAATGTACTTAGGTCAATGCAGTGTCAGTGTAGACACTGCACAGCTTATATCGACTGCTGCTGCTGTTCAGAAACCATCCCACAATGCCCCACACTGGCAGTTAAATCAGTGCAAGTGCTCCCATTAAGGACATGTACTGCTGACACAAGGAGCATCGTGTGGCTGTATGAAACCGATTCAATGACTGTGGTTGCACATCGACATAAGTTAGGTCGACTTAATTTTGTAGAGTAGCTTTGTCCTTGTTTTGCAATCAAGTGGCTAACGTCGGGTTGTTATCACATTTAGCTAAATTGACTTTTAGCCGTGTTTATGCCTAAATATGACTGTTGACACAAAAGAGTTCACCAGAATAACAAAACTGATGTTAGGAAACGGATTTAGTTGAAGCAATAGAGGCCAACAGGCTTGCTCCAATTAGGAAACAGAAACAGTATTATGTTGACCCATGTGTCCAGTCACGGGTAACCAGCACAGCTTGAATTTCCTGTTTCAAATATTAACACTCACAACAAACTGCTCATGTAAAATAGACAGCCCAAGACTGATGCACCAAAATTATTCAGCACATTTCAAGTTTTGAAAATCACAAACTATTCAGCAGAACAGCAGGCTAACATTCAAACCATCAATTGCTCACTGCTAATGATGTACTGGGTTGGGGAGAGATGTACTGTGCAGAGGACCAGCCCAAGGCCTATGTGACATTTGCGTTGCACATAAACTGTTGAAACAGAACTTAAATGGAATGGATGTGGCCCTCAGTATTGGGATGAATGTCTCACGTAGCTGCGTCCCAGTAGCATTATCAGAAAGAAGAAACAACGTCAATAGGGGGTAATAAGGTCTATGTTGCTCCTTCCAATAAAAAGTTTAATCAGTGGAATATGAAAAGAAGGAAATCAGAGTAAGATTTCTTTCTTCCATGACAATAATGACAGCAACAACCACATTCAAATCTATAATTAGAAAAGAGGCCAAGCTGCAAATTTCAGAGTTGGATCCAAATATTCCCAAAATTAGGAGGAGTTCAGATTCAGGAGTGTATTTTGGGCTGGATAGCATCACACTAGGAAAGTTTGACTACAGTTGTGCTTTTCCCAAGGTTTATGAGTGTACGTTTCTGAGGGCTGAGCTTGGGCTAGTCTTTATTCATAATATGCAATTATTCCCCTTGCTGTTTATTTTGCTAAACAATGCACTATAGATCATTTTATGCATATCCAGGGAATATGTGCAATTAATCACACTTTTAAACAATAGAATACCATTTATTTTAAATATTTGTGCATGTTTTCTACATTTTCATATCTATTGATTTCAGTTACAAAACAGAGGTAGGTTCCAAACAGGCTGGAGAAAGGCTGTTCACCGGAGTGATGGATGGCAGAACAAGGAACAATGGTCTCAAGTTGTAGTGGGAGAGGTCCAGGTTGGGATATTAGGAAAAACTATTTCACTAGGGGTATGTCTACACTACCCCGCTAGTTCGAACTAGCGGGGTAGTGTAGACATACTCTAGTGTAGACATACCCCAAGAGTGCAGAGCTCTCATTGAAGAGATGCTGCAGGTCAATTGGATGCCATATCTCACTCATAATAAATGCCCAACCCGCAAATAAGGCATCAGCTTTCTGAGTAGCCATTATAAATAGGAACCTTCATCCCACAATGACTGAGTGAACTGGAATGGTGCAGTGAACATAAATGGATGGGTGGTGAGAACAACGTATTCTGTCCAACTAGAGTAGATGGGTAGCTGTTTCCATGGAAGCAACTATAGCCTACGGGCTGTTGCAGAACACTATGCACTCTCCATGAAAGAGCATGGCCAACCTATGTCATAGAGCCACTGGCCATGCTTACTACTTTCCTTACAATACTGTTGCCTTGGACCACTGTTCACATATACTGTTCTCCACAAGCAGGGAATATGGAGTTCCACTGAGTCAAATGTCTCACCTGCACAGACAAATCACAGCCATCATGGGTCAGAATCTTGCGATCTCCACAGCCAGGGAGGTGGAGTAACCTCTTAGGCCAGGTCTACACTTACCCTAAGATTGATGCTCCAGAGATTGATTTTCCAGGGTTCGATTTAGGGGGTCTAGTAAGGACCGGATAAATCGACCACTGATGGTGCCTCCATCAACCCTGGCACTCCACAGGGTCGCAAGGAGTAAGGGGAGTCAATGGGAGAGTTTCTCCCAGAAGAAATTCCTCAGCAAAAATTCAATAAGTACAACTCCAGCTACCCTATTCTTGTAACTGGAACTGAGTATCTTAGGTCGACTTTCTCACGTAGCGTAGACCTGGTCTTAATGGAGAAAGCCCAGATTTTGCTGTCCTTACTCACTCAATGTTCCCATTGCCCTGAAAGATTTCTGATCTTTCCAACGCAAAGCCTGTCAGGATTGTAACATGGCGACAAAGGGCCTGAAAGGTTTTGTAGAATGAGGGCCAAATTCTGACCTCAGTTACTGCAGTCCCCATGCAGGCTGAGTGTAAGTGAGATCAGAATTTGTACTTGCTAGAAGTACAAAGCACATTTTTCCCAACAGGGTACAGTGGTTTTGTGATATAGGGACAAATTCCCTTCCTCACACTTTCACCTACAAAACTGTTATATTTATTATTATTACAATTGGTTGAACAATCCCTTTCCAAAGATCTGATCCCACAAGTTCTTGGCAAGCAGGATCCAACAGTGAAGCCTAGGGGCCAACATCTCGCTCAGTATAAAGTGACTTCAGTAGAGGTGCATAGGTTAACAACAGTTGAGGACCTGGATCAGGTTAATTGCAGGCTTGGAATCCAACCCTTTACTAGACCATGACCCCGCCAGAAAACACAGAACTCACCATCTGGAGGCATCAGCACCTTGTTATTCTGTGTACACCAGCCCACTGGATGAAGGTCGGCTGTCATCACATCACACCAGAAATCTGCCCTGCGATCCTCTCCATAGCCACAATAACGTAGCAATAAGAGCTGCCCACAAGTTGTAATGATTGTAGCCACCCAGTAGGTGTCCGGACTGTTCTTGTTGGCCACTTCCAACTTCATCCCTGGCTGGAAACTGCTCTGAAGGCTGATTTCAACCTTGCAAAATTAGAAACAGGGATTATTTTTTCCAAATAACAGAAAGAAAATAAGGCACGCTCTCCCACAGCTAGCAGTCTTATGAGTTGCATTATCCTCTACACAGGCTGAGGCGCACCTTTCGCACACAAAGAATTGGAAAGAAACGTTTTCGCCACAGACACACTTCTGCTGCTCAACACAGACAAGCAACTGGAGACATTCTCTCCTTTGTTCCAGTGCCCATGGCTGATTTCAGACCCACGCCAGGAAACTGAGATAGCCTCCTTCACAGACAAATTGCCACTCTCAGGAAATAAACTGTTAGTGTCCACACACAGTGGCTGATCTTCCTGAGCTACCTTAGACAAGGCATTTTCATCTTGTTCAGGGTCACTTTCACAAGCTTCACTACCCAGCAATTCTCCAGCCACACAAACAATTAGGGTTTCAAACTGACCATCAACTTCAATCTGCTTCAGAGAAACATTTTCCTGGTCATGGAGTTCTTTCTGTGCTCGATTGCATTCCAGATTCACTTCCTAGACATTAAGCAGGCATTCAGAAACCTCATTCCCAGACACACGGCTTTCCTGCCCAGGCAAACAGCCTCCTTAGGCAAACATCTAGAGAAACCTTTCCTGGGAAAGTCATTGCCCCTGTAGGCAAAGGTTTAGGATTATTTCTTTCCTACACTTCATTCGGGACAGTAACTTGACTGAACAAAGCTTTAGTATCATTCCCAATCCAAAGATACCCAGAGGCAATAATTTCCTTACGCCAGCTATAGCTTCATGTTTAGCACCATTGCATCCAAGGTGAATCCTAGCTAAAGGCCCACTCGCAGTAAACTCATTAGAACATAAAAATGGTCATACTGGGTCAGCCCAAAGGTCCATCAAGCCCAGTATCCTATCTTCCGACTGTGGCCAATGCTGATGCCCCAGAGGGAGCGAGCAGAACAGGTAATCATCAGGTGATCCCTCTCCTGTCATCCATTTCCAGTCTCTGACAAAAAGAGGGTGGGGACACCATTCCTACTCATCCTGGCTAATAGCCATGGATTGACCTAACCTCTATGAATGTATCTAGTTCTTTTTTGAATCTTGTTAAAGTCCTGGTCTTCACAACATCCTCTGGCAAGGAGTTCCACAGGTTGACTGTGTGCTGTGTGAAGAAAAACTTCCTTTTGTTTGTCTTAAACCTGCTACGTATTAAATTCATTTGGTGACCCCTAGTTCTTATGTTACAATTACAATATTCACACTCTGATTTTGTAGGTAATCTTCCTCTCTGACAAGATCTGCTTGAACAAGAGTGATGTTAGAGGCTGTAATTTGCCCTCAACTGCTTTTATCATTGGCTCTTACACTCTCCATGAATTTTCCATTACTGCTCCCATACCTAGCCTTCATCTGATCCCACAGGAACAGCATTCACATAAAAGGTGGTAGCACTGGGGTAAAATTGATCTCACACAGACAACTGCACTGTCACACCCACCCACTTCATGTGAAGAGTTACATTCACGCTTGCTTTAGGGCTGGGTTATGACATTACCCTCATTAAACATATCTGCCCTATTACTATCAGACCACATACCAGCACTGTTATCAAGTGGACTTCCAGGGGAATACAGACTTCTGTTCTTCCCTTTCTTTCTCAATCTGGAGTTTAAATTCGGCAACTTGCTCCATCTTGCTTGGAAGCCTCAGTAAGTCTCAGTTCATACTCAAGATGAAGTTTCTTCAATGTCTCCCGCACTCTAATTGCTTCTGCAGTATCTCTGGTCCGCAACAAAGATCTCAGTTCTTGATTGGGAGTTTTCTTCTTAAAGGTAATTCCTTTTTTAAAGCACTAATCTTCCAGGGATCTTTTACTAAGACCCTCATATCATTGCTGACTCGCTGCAACTGCTCTTTAACCAACCAAACTCTTCCCCACATTCAAATTTTGAAGAGCGTGGGGTTCTGATCGACAGTTAACTGACCTGGTTCTGTGGATCCTAGCACAAATACGCCACTGTCATATAACAGGCTTCGGGAGCACTGCTGAGAAGGTCAAATCAGGGCAAATTGCTTAAAGACACGGCTACTTACAGCCTGGGACTGGCGGTCCTCCTCTATAAGTCATCAACCAGTCACACAGAGCACTTTCATTTGCCACACTGGCCAGCAAAAAATCACACAAGCAATCAATCCCCTAGACACTCCAGCTTCTCCTCTACCACAGCCAGCACCACTCCTTACACAGGTGAGAGGTTATGCAAACCAATCCCACCAAATCTGAACAGGTTCTTCTAATCCCAAAGGACCAGCCACATTCCTAGGTCAATTTACACCTCAGATCTTATCCAAAAGAGCACACAGCCCCAATCCTTTGGAATCTAAAATCTAAAGGTCTATTCATAAAAGAAAGCAAGCCATTGAAAGTAAAATTGTTAAAGGAAACGAACTGCATATATCAATTACAAAGTTCCTCATGCAGACTTCTAGCAGAGATGGAATAATCTGCTTTCTTATAAGTCTCTGGAATACATACTTTGTCAGGATGGGTCACCAGTCCTTCTGGGCCGGAGTGAAGACAAACGGAGGAACTTCTAGGGCTCTTTTTATAACCGTGCTCATGTGGCGGGAGTTCCATTGTTCTTGCTGTGTGAAAGTACCTCCCAAGGTGGAGTTTGTCACATGAGCAAGTCTCTCCTGTTCATGCACAACTCCGTCCTTAGCTGCCATGGCTTACCTGCTGGACTGAACGTTCACAGCAAAGTTCCTCACATGTGGATTGGCACCACTAAAGGTCCGTTGTCAGTGAAGTACTGCTATTCACTAGACTGGCCATCCTTTCACAATAGGTGGGTGAAGCCTGTTGATTATCTCCCAGAAGCAAACATTTGAAATACAAGTACAGAGCCAACACCCACAACTTCAAATACAAAGATGATTCATGCATCTGAGCAGCATAAACAGAATTAGCAAATTGTCAGCTGTCTATAGACACTTCACGTGGCTCACTTTGTACCAGACTTGGTGCAAACACATAACCGTGATTGGCAACAATATTTTGCGTGTTCAGAGCAGAATACAATAACATCACAGGGAGTTGCAATTGCGAAGGACGAGGCAGGGCCCCTAGGTCGCTCAAGTCAGTGCCATAGACGGCTCTGAAGACGGGGCTTGAAAACACCAGCTGGCGCCAGTGTACCAAGCACAGTGTGGGAATGAGTGAGATGCTCATTCAGAGAGCTGTTGTGCTCTGAACCAACTATAGTTTCATATCTTGGACGGAGAATTATCATAATCCAGCCAAGCAGTTGGAAAGCATGGATCACTGAGGCAAAGTTGGAATTGGATTGGTGGGGCCACAATTTCTGTGCCTCATGTAGGTGGAATTGGGAGCATTTTGCAACCAGGACTCTTCGAGTTTTCAGAGGCCAAGTAGACACGCACACTGACAATTCTCCAAAGAGCATGTTTCTCCCCTCCAAAATTGATTCATTGTTTCAAGGGATCAGATTCATCCAACAGCCAGCCTCTTCCAGGGCCCTGTACAGGGAGCTGGGAGATGGTGCAGTATGTATCTAAGGAGAAGATGTAGTAGCAGCGCTGGTTCCATCTGTGTTCAATGGGATGGGGTGAGACAGGAATGCTGTGGGGCTCCATAGGTGAATGCTTCAGACATAGAGGAACAGATACCCTCACAGCTCAGGGAATGGCCCAGGAGGGGCAGCTTAACTCACCTCCGAGCAAGCCCACCATGACTGTGAGGTGGGATGGCCCAATTTTATAGTCGACTAAGAGTCTATGGCAAAGTCTAGCAATAAAGAACATGAGCATTCGGCCTTATCCATAGCCAAGAAGAGACCATCCCTCTGTTCCACATCCTGACCTGCAGCCTGCGTGGGAGGGCTCCTGGATATTGGCAGCATCTAGGATGCCTGGAGCTTCCCAGTTAGTTTGCTTAAGGAACTAGAGGTTAGCTAAAGGGTAGCAGCAGCCCGAGTGGTTGGTCACATCAAGCGATGGTTTCTTAAACACTGGATGCATTATGATGTGCTCTGGGCCAGCAATCAATTTCCTTTCTCAAAGGAAGTGCCAACAATCCCACTCAGTGGCGAGTCTCAACACCCTTCCACAAGCCAAGAAAGGCAGGGAGTCAGAGCTGCAGCCGGTGGGTGTTTTACTTCAATACTTCCGGAATTCTGTCGGGTGAACAAACCCACTTCACAGGAGGGAAGGTATCCTGCCCCCAGGCCTATGTCAATGGTATGGCTTCAGGCGTCCCAAGAGGCCATCTCCACTCCCAGAGAGTTTCTTTGAAATGAAGGTGACACTTGTTTTGGCGCTGAAAAGAGGCATTGCATGTTACCCAGGCAATTCAGCACTGGCAGGCTTCTCAGAAGAAGCCTGTTTTAAGGAGGATTTTGAGAGAACAATCTGAGCTCAGTTTTTGCGTGGTGGGGTGGCATGGAAGAAAGGACAGGGAGTGAGGAGACAGGAGAAGCAAACGATGCAGGATGGGGGGGAAGGAGGAAATGAAAGCTGAATGTAGGCCAGAGGAAAGCTGTATGGAGCCTGGAGAAGACATAAGGATGAGAACTTGAATGTGGAGTGAGAAACAAGTGGACCCAAAGAAAGGCATGAGAACAAGCATTGAGCAGGAAAAGGAAGAGGATTTTAGAAGGAGAAGGAAAAGATTCCAGCATTTTGGATTGGGAGGAAGAAATCTGAGAAGCAGAGAGAAAAGTTTGGTATTGTTTCCCCAATAGCCGTCAGCCATGTCTTTACATTTTCCAGGATGATTTTCTCTAATCAGAATGCAAAGAGGGAAGGGGACAGAACTTTCTCAAGGCAAACTACGTACGTGTCTGAACGAGGTGTGGGGAGCAGCACTTGCTCCCGTTTCTTCCAAGTACTCATCCCAGTTAAAGTCGGTCTCCTCCGCGCTGGAACCGTCGTCTGGTGAAAAGAAAAAAAAAAGCAATATAAAATTACAACGTGTCTACTGCAGGCAATAAATGGTGTCAGCCAAGAGCGGGAAATTGGCAGACAGTAAAACCTCCACACACGGATTAAAAAAAACAGGTTTAATAGTTGTGCTTAGCTTGGATTCCTTGGATTGTACTGCGTTTCCAGGACATTATGTGGTGTGTTTGTATTAACAGTTCTGCCTCCAGTGATTCAAGGGATCTGCTTTTGTAGTCCGTTGGGTATCTGAACAGAACCCATTGTACACTACAGTGCAAGAGAGCACTCACTATTTCACTTTGACTTTTCACTTCTCATTCACCAGTCATCCTGAATACACATTGTGCGGTACAGTGGATAAATGTGGCAAACTAATAATAAAGTCTGTGTTCCAAAGCAACCTAAGCCAGATCCTTAGCTGCTGTAAGTTACGGTACTGCCACTCAAACCAACAGAGGAATAGAGATTTACATCACCTTATGGTCTGCCCCTCTATTGTGAATAGTGCCAATGTGCAACACTGCCTTTTGCTGGATGGAATCAGACCTACTCAACTGTGTATAGTATGCCTTATAAAGCTAACAGCTTGGAGAATAGCCTCTTTTATTTAATTTAATTAGTAGGAAGCTGAACTTTGAAAGCAGGAGTCCTGCTGTGGCTGGGAAGAGACAGACGATGGAATCTAGGTGTTGTTTCCCATTAGAACTACTTATATTTTTCTGCTTTTCTATAACAACTTCCCTGTGAAGACCTCAAAACGCTGTGGGTATGTCTAGACTGCATCCCTCTGTCGGCAGAGGGATGCAGATTAGGCAGGTCGACATTGCAAATGAGGCAGGGATTTAAATATCCCGTGATTAATTTGCATGAAAATGGCTGCCGCGTTTTGCCAACTCAGTACTTTGTCCACAAAAAGCAGCAGTCTAGAGGGGGATCTGTCGAAAAAGCAAGTCTTTTTCGACAGATCCCTTATGCCTCCTGCAAGGACGTTTACAAGATCTGTCGAAAAAGGCTTGCTTTCTCGACAGTTCCCCCTCTAGACTGCCACTTTTTGCAGACAAAGTGCTGAGTCGGCAAAACATGGTGGCCATTTTTATGCAAATAGGCACAGGATATTTAAATCCCTGCCTCATTTGCAACGTCAACCTGCCTAATCGGCATCCCTCTGCTGACAGAGGGATGCAGTCTAGACATACCCTGTATGAACAATGAATTGATTCTCAAAAGACCCTGTGAGAGATGTAATGCCACTGCCATGTTACAGATGGGGAAACTGAGGCACAGACCATTTTTTGTGTCTAGCCTGAGATCACACAGAAAATCATTGGCAGATTTAAGAAAAGAACCTAGATCTTCTGACTCTCAGAGCTCTGTAAATTAACCCCAGACTATACTTCCTCCCACAGCGAAAGATCCATAATTATTTACAGTTTTTGCTATGTCTGCACAGCACCTAGCACGAAGGCACTAAGGTCTCCAAGTGCTGCTGAAATACAAACAACTCTTCTTTCACTTACAGAAAGTCAGCCAAATAGGATCGCTTTTATTTTACTTTAAAATAATGTTCCCAGACAATCTTGGATGAACAACTCAGAGCAAATATTTACAGTCTAATAGTGAGGCCCAGCAATATGCATTTATCAGGCAAACTCTGAGAGACCCTTTCTGACCAAAGCATTCATCAGGATGCTAATGATGAAATTAACCTGACCCAAGGCAAGAAACCTTCCCAGATGGTTTTGTGAAGAAAACAGCAGTTAATTTATTGCAATTTTTGTACAGGTCTCCCATTTTCAAGACTCACAAGTTAGATCATGTAACACGACTCTCTCATTATTAAAAGGAAAAGGAATAGCTTACATTTGCTGCCAATGTAGCCAGAGACTGGTTTGGGGGGAAAACAAAATGACAGCAGAGCTGGGTTTTCTAAACATAGCCTGCATGGGAAAGGGGCTCTGAGAACAAACTACAGCTCTCCTTGCTGTCAAACACACTAGCGCTTCTTTTCAATGTTAGAACATAAGAACGGCCGTACTGGGTCAGACCAAAGGTCCATCTAGCCCAATATCCTGTCTGCCGACAGCGGCCAGCACCAGGTGCCCCAGAGAGGGTGAACCGAAGACAATGATCAAGCGATTTGTCTCCTGCCATCCCTCTCCAGCCTCTGACAAACAAAGGCCAAGGACACCATTTTATCCCCTGGCTAATAGCCTTTTATGGACCTAACCTCCATGAAATTATCTAGCTTCTCTTTAAACTCTATTATAGTCCTAGCCTTCACAGCCTCCTCTGGCAAGGAGTTCCACAGGTTGACTACATGCTGTGTGAAGAAGAAAATGTTGGATTCTGAAGACCAAGAGACTGATTTTTCCCCTCACCTGCACTGCTTTAACCTGGTGTAGCTACCCCAGCCGAAGAGATTTCTGATTGCAGGTGGCCCTTCAATCTAGCAGAAGAGGCACGAATGGCCAGAAGCTAGACAAATTCAGACAAAAAAGTAAAGTGCACACTTTTTTTCCACACTGGAGGTTAACGGAGCATTGGAACAACTTATCCAAGAACACAGGGAATCTCCATCACTCAAAACTGGATGTCTAAAAGAGATATTATAGACACAACACATGTGATGGGCTGGAGGCAGAGATGACCAGGTGAAATTCCACCACATCACCTGTACAATGTAGGAAGTCAGGCTGGGATGGTGCCATTGGTCTCTACTAGCCTTAAGATCTATGGGTATGTCTACACAGCAAAGTTATTTCGAAATAACTTTACTAGCGTCTACACAGCTGTACTGCAATTTCAAAATTAATTTGAAATAGCGGAGCGCTTATTTTGAATTTAGTAAACATCATTCCACGAGGAATAACACCAAATTCAAAACAGCTATTTTGAAATAAGTGCTGTGTAGACACTTATTTTGAAATAGAGGGTCTCCAGCCTTCCCAGGGTGCCCTGGTGGCCACTCCAGCCTCAACCAAGAACACTCCACTGAGAGACAGATCCAAGAG